TTGTCAGGCCACGTTGCCCTTTCAGTCAGTAGCGCAGGAGCAAGCATACAAACGTAATGGCAGCGAAATAAGCATATCTCCTGAGAAATGTTCTGCCTCTTCATGTGCTTTTATCCGTCACCAGTAACCCCGTGCTGTTAATCAGCCACCATTCGTCACTTCTTGCCTTTCCCCTGCCCTTCTGTTGCTTACCATTCATCGACTAAGATCAGAAAAATAATTGCCTTCAAGAGCAGCCAGCAAGGCCTCTTCTACGTTCGCTAGCGAGGGGACACTGGAAAAACCCCACGTAATCGCATGCGTTGCGGTAACAGCGCAACAAGCGTCATCACCTGGGCTTTTTGCGGTGTCTCGTCGTAATGCCATGTGAGACAACGCGAAAGAAAAAACTTCATAAGTCCAGTCAGAGAGTCGTTTCGCAGAGTTTACAGCAGCAGATGCTATAGGTCCTACCACGAACGGCCACTTCAACCGACGTCATTCCTAGTTGGTTCCCCTTCGAGGCTTTGCCGAGCTTCTCTCTGAACCTAGGGCAGCGTTCAGACGTCGCGACGCAGCGCTCAGTCGCGCGTTTGGCGCAATCGATGCAGTAGAAAGCATGCGCATCGATCGCGTCGAACGCGCGACCGAAGCGCTGCCGTCACGAAGTCTGAACGCTGCCATTCATCAGAATGTTGTGCCCCGCACTGCCCTTGATTCCGGTTCACGAAGCACCCTTATATTTGGTGTGTGGAGAAGACCTGTGACATGGAGGAATGGCAATGTGTTTCCCACATAGTCATGAAGTCGTGGGATCGGTTTCTAACTCGTTTTGTTCTACACTTTCGTTTTTCCAAAGGCATTTCCAGAAAAGGTACCGACATAGTTGGAATATCTGCGCTTGTATTTAGATACCTGTGCAAATGATTTGCCAGCGGCTCCCAATATGTTCGGACTGCTGCTCAAACATGACCCAAGTTACCATCTGTGACAGGTCTTTTTGAGCAAGATGCTCGTTTTTCCCGAAAAGCAGAAAGCTGCTCAGTCCTAATAAAATTAAAACTCATTCATTCCTAAGAATGAGATCCAGTCCTAGTGCTAAGATAGCTTTGTAACTACCGGCTGTGGCCCGGCTCACGAACTCATATCCACCTTTCTTGAAGGTGGGACAAAATCACAAGGCGGGCTAGAAGTTTGCTCCCAGGATAGGTTATCAACATTGTGAACAGCGAGTGACACTCTTTCGGCAAGGATACATTCCTGAAATGTGTGACGGGCCATGAGACGTCCAAACGCTGATAACACAGTTCTGCGAAAAACTTTTATAACATGCTCAGAGAGAAGCTTATGAAAATCCTAGAAGAATATTTCGAATGAGCGCTAGAAAATAATGTGACGGTGTAGGTCCTTATCACAAGCGCCCACTTTGTGTCCTCCCTACTTAGCTTTTCAATGGCAAATTGGAATCCCCATATCGTCACATGCAATTCTTTTGAGTATTCACTTCAGAAAACGTCCAGTAGCCTCTTTCGGCAAGCGACCTCCACGTAAGCTCATTACCATCACAGGGCTTTGCTGAAGCCAACAGCTCATATGCAAAGTGAGTAGTCGTTTTAGAGTGCAGTTCTGGTTTCGTGGACCTTTTTCGCGGCTAAGTTCATGTATCAGGCAAGCAATTATTCCTATAGGATGGTAGCCTGATTTTTGCACGTAATGTTTATCGGTTCTCTGGTCTTGGTTTCTTCAGAGGTTGCGTGCTACAGTGGATCATTTTGACATTGACAGCTGCTCAACTTGTACAGGCCCTGCACAGCTTTCCATCAAGAAGGATTGTATCTCTATGAGGTGCCGATGTGAGCTGCCTCATGAGGCCACACCGTTTGAAGATGGTTTTTTTTTCTTTTCTATGTGGAGGAAGACTATAAACTTCATGACAAGTGGAAAAGAACAAGCTCGGATGCATACGTCCTGCTCGTGCGCGGGGTGACAGGGCGTCTACTGAAGCGGTGTTCAGCGCACCACCCGCTCGTTGTCTCATAGCTGCTGAAGCGGAAAACGAAAGGAGGCGATGAGGAATTTATGTAAACAATATGGAACTGTTTTGATGCTTCCCCACACCAATACTTGGGGAAAAACGAACACATCGCTGAAGAACTGACCTGTGGAATGCTTGCCACAATTCTATTTGAAGAAAGCCTACCCACATTCTGGAAAGCAGTATGTCCTCTAGAAGTGATGAAAATTGAAAAAATCTTTCTACGCTATCAGCGATCCTCGACCCTCTAATCAAATTATCGCCAGTCGAAGGTGTCAGGGGCACAGTACTGATACTCTTCTTCCAGGAATGGTGGGTAGTGGCTTTCTTCAAATAGAATTGTGGCAGAGCATTCGCACCAGGTCAGTCTCTGCCTTCAGCCTTGTATCGGAATCCGCTTTATTCACATGGGTTGTGAAATCTCATGCACATTCGGCCCGTAATCTGTTGATGATGCGCGAGAAAGGTCCTCAGGTGATAAGCGCAGGTACCGCTTAGGTCGAGCTGGGGTCGTATGGGGGCTTTTTTACGAACGATGGAGAAAGCAACTGAATCAATCTATTGCTGTGTGCCGTGTAAATAGTAGTTGCCAAGGTCAACTTGTAACACGCAAAACTAACGATTTCTGGGAATTTCAAAACTGTTCAAGCACCTAACATTTCTATTGCATTCAAGTGCAGGAACTCAGTTGAAAATCATTACGAGAGTCTTGGAGAGTCACTGAGAGGACTAATATTTCAGTGATGTAGGGAATTGCAATTCAAAGCATTTAATTTTGAACTTTTAGAAAACTCGATGAAAATTGAAATTTAAAAAATGGAAAGTTTTCCACAACGCGGCAGTCCTTACGGGACCGATGTTTTACCAAGAATAGTGAAGCAGATAGCACCCGAATGGTTGTTGGACATTAGTAGGTACTGATCATCTATGCCTGAACAAGCACCTCGGATGGGATAGTATTACTTAAAAGGTGCGATTGGTCGCGTCGGTAGACGTAGAAAGCCGTGAAACACCACGAAAAGGTCTTGGAAACCTAGTAAAGGGTAATTTTGACATGGATAGGCAGCATTTTTCATGGGGATTCGAATGGTGTGACTTTGACTGGGATTTTCTTATTATGAAAAACACGTGAACTTGGGTTTGGAAGAAGTCTTCAAGTTGGCAGCCGACAACAACAACCAGTCTACAATATGCAACTGTTTTCCACCAAATTGTTGGACAGCACAAAACGTTCTGTACGTAGGTTTTTTATGGAAATTATGAGGCCACCCAGAGAGCTAGAAATCCTTTTTAAAAACGCTGAAAATTGAGTTTTTACCCTAGTATCGCACAAAGTGCCCATTTCATGTCACTAAAAAAGCGCTTCTTCTTGCTTCATTCTTGAATTTCGCGAATATTGGGAAAAAGAGGGCTCGATACATTGACCCCGTTGTGCTCGTGTGCTCCAAACTGGACCAATGCTCGAGATTTTCCGAACAGAAAGGGCTATATCGTCCAAGAATGACATCGAGCGAAATCCCTCTATTTTAAGGAAAATGGGCATCCTAATGATCAGGATCATTTGGGAAACCCCAACTATCTCATTTTTAATCACTTCTTATGCGTTTAATCACTTCTTATGCGATAAAGTACGTTATTTGATTCCTGAATGATTTGATTCCCAACGTTTACCCGCTGGTTACAATTATAGCGAGGTTCGATGGCTAACGAGTGTCCTCAGGTACTTCGTTGGGAAGTGGAGTTCGATTTCCAACTTTCAGTTGCTTTTAGGATGACAGCTTATAGAACTCGACGAGCTGAGTCTAGCAGTATAGGGTTCTACATGAGAAGAGGCATAGCAAAAAAAAAACAGAAAAAAACGGGGATCTTTCGTTTTTTTTTCGAACGATTACGGCGGGCATTGCACTTCCAAGCTATTCATCGTATTCTATGGAGCCGATAAGAGCTTTCCAGGATCGTTGGCCATAAGTCAAATACTGTTCTTCAAGCCGATTCAAATCGGATATCAAGGAAAGAGTGGTCAATGAACCATGATTTTCAGCTGAAACTTGCTGAAACCCTGTCATGAAAAGTATCAAAATGATCACGGAATCATGCTCTTTCTGAATATGCTAGTATTTATGGCTTCGTGGCACTTGGTTTGAAGTTCATAATTGGACTGGAGGGTCGACGACGCAGCCGTGTCCGCAGGTAACACCTTAGGTTACTGGAGACTCAAACCTCGATTTCCTTGTGAAAAACGTCAAAGAAATTGGAGGCAAGTGGAAGTTCTATACATTGCTGGATTCGTCTTGAACAGGACTATCGAATGGTCTGATTTTCAGATCATTTGGACCACATCAACAGAAGTTATGGCAAAACGACGGTTTGCGACGGAAAAATCTGTCGCAAACCGATTTTTGACCAGAAATTAGGGGCGGTATTGTATGTGGCTGCATCCCCCATTGAGAACACGGGGTAACGTTTGCCCCACTAAAATAGATATACCAACCTTTTTTTTCAGAGCTCCATCTATGGTCCACCACTGCAAAATAATCTATCAAACGCACAACAATACCGAAAAAAACGACAGATGCCTGGAAGAATCAGTCAGCCCGGAATGGTTGTCGATCCGCTCCTTCTGGACAATATCACCCAAGCAACCCCTCACTAGGCTGAGGGTTAATAGCAAATCATTCAAGGGCACAGTTCGGCTTGGAGGGGCGGGGACTTTGCAATTCGCTTCCTCCGTTTTCATCCGTCGTGTTGAGCCATCAAGTAGATGAATGTTCGTGAAGCCATGGAAAAAATACCCAGTCGACGTCTGTAACTTAACACTATTTGCAAAGAATACCTGTCCTAACTTGTGAACAACCAAACTAAGACGATGGGAAGTAACACAGAGTGAAAAAAAACAAAAGCCCCCCCCCCAAACCAAATCCTCCACGAGAATTTATTGGAATTTTTCGAAATTCTCCATCGAAAAAGTGAACATTTGCTTTCAGCGATGGTACAGCTGGAGCAAATGGCTGGCGTGCAGAACATGCTTTCATCGTCACATGGTATAGAGTGAGTTTCTTTGATCATGAGGGATGTCTTACCCAGGGGTACACAATAGCTGTGTGAAGCCCACCGAGGATCGCATTCGTCCCAAGGGTAGGTCGTACTAGCCTGGGGTCACTTACTGGGGGGGGGGGAGTTGATTTAGCACCCGAGTAATTTTTTTTGGCTGTTTGATTTTTCCTCTTTCAGCAGGCGCTATCCACAACCTTGAAGAGCTGCCCATTACTAGGGAGAGCGGGAGATTTGGGTGTACATGCTATTTCATAATTTGAAAAAGGGATGTAACGAAATAGTGGAGAGTTGGCAGAACTGTGGATAACCGTACAGAACGCATATGGCGCGCTGCGCGCCGGTAGCGGTGCGGATCATCAATTCGCAACGCGACGCAGCGCGCGCCATTTATTACACACAATCGGTATGAGAAACGAACCTGAAAGATGAAACTTTACGTGTATTTAAACAGCATAAAGTTGCTGTAAGATTATGCTATGTAGGTAGGGTTCCCATTATTGAAATCGACTGTGCTTGGGCTTTACCTGCTATTTCTGGCGCCCGCTTTTATCTTCCAGATGGCAGGGAGGAGCTACTAGAGCGGCTCGATGTGCACAATTGAGCATGGAAGAACGGTGGCAGAGAATACTTTCCCAGCAGGTCACCTAGCCCTGACGACAATAAGGAGTCGATAATGCTCCTTTATAGGCGGAGGGCCAACTGATAACACTCTATTTTATAGAACATTCGCTATTTTTAACTATGCTCGACTCAACTGGACTACTAGTAATGAAGCTGGAGGTAAGATATATTTAAAAATAAAAAAAATAAGGAGTGAGGAGCAGTAATAAGGCAAGTACAGTGAAATAATTTCTAATTGGCAAGCTCTCTTCTACAATGTCATTCAAGGTCTCAATGGATTCGGAGGGAAACAAGCGGCTGTCGCCGGATTCAAATTGCGTGAAACGGTACTGGCTGTACAATCAACCGTACTTCCCGACACGTTAATGAGACACTAAATTGAGTGCCAAAAGTTCAACTCAGAGCTCCCACAGCGCTTGAGAATAGTGTTTGCTGGCTAGAGATTGTGACATAGTGGCCCGCTAGGACAAACATAATAAGTAGAAGCAATAAGGTATAAACATTTTAGGTCCAAACCATGTGAGCCGAGGAAATGAGCTTTTAGGCGTCCGAAATTACTTGTCCGTATGATGGGCGATCAGAGGAACCGAGAAGCTATCCTCTCTTCCCTTTTTTCTTCCTCTCTCCTTCTTTTCCTTCCTTCCTTATCCCTCTCCTTTACCTTCTCCCTTCAACTACTGGACTGGTAGATGCCTCGTGAAATAACCCTGGACCCTCGCAGCGAGAGCACGTCTGGTTGACAACAGCCCCGTAACCACTTCATCGCGCCGAAGCCGTTTGCTTTCTCTTAGTTCCTCTTCCCACTTCTCTCCTTCTTCATTACGCGTTCATTGTCTAATAATTGGAAGTAGCTAACAAGAAAAGAAAAGGAAATGGCCTGGGCCCTTGCAGCAAAAGAAATTTTAGTTGGTAGATGCCTTCTATAGTAATAGTAATTCTAACTTTTTCCACTCCTACCACCTGTCTCAGGGTTCTTGTCAGCTGCGGAGCCTTTCTTCTCCTTCCTTCTTTCTTCGTCTTCCTTTTTTCCTTTTCTCTCTTTATTTTTTCTTATCCCTTCAAATGATGGGCCAATAGATGCGATGAGAATGTACCTCTGGACCCTTGCAGGGCGAGCATGCCCGAATGATACAATTGCCGTAACCCGTCCCTTCCTCCAGTTAAGGCTCAGACTTCGTGGAGACTGTATCTTCTGTGTAGCTACTTGGCGACACTGGTCGTGTGCGCTCTGACCCTGGGGATTTTTAAATTGGAGCGCTAAAGATGCGCGTTCAAAACTTCCTCCGGATCCGCGCGATCTGATCGCGCCTACATGGTGGGTGAAATTCACACCGGGAGGAGTAGGGCATATTTGTTCACCAGTCGCTCGGCCGGCTAACGCCGGCGTGCCTCTTTCGATAGCGGACCCGGCTGCGCGTATTTTTCTTGTCACATATTTCTACACTCAACTGATATCCGCCTTTTGTTCTGTACTCCACTTTTTTTCCGGTGTCTGAAGTGTTCTGGAACCGTTCTACAGAATTTTTGTCTGGCTCCGCCCACCTCGAAGCAGGCTCCGCCCCCAATTTTTGTGCCCCACAATCCTCACCGGCGACCCTCTGCTGACCTTAATCCACGTTTTCTTTTCGGTCTTTGAAGTGCTCTGGGACAGTTTTAGAGAACTTTCGTCTGGCTCCGCCCACCTCGGGCTGGCTCCGCCCCAATTTTTGTGCCCCACAATCTTCACCGACGACCCTCTGCTGACCTTAATCCACTTTTTTCCGGTCTTCGGAGTGCTCTGGGACCGTTTTGCCGATCTTTTGTCTGACTCCGCCCACCTCGGGCTGGCTCCGCCCCCCAATTTTTGTGCCCCACAATCTTCACCGACGACCCTCTGCTGACCTTAATCCACTTTTTTCCGGTCTTCGGAGTGCTCTGGGACCGTTTTGCCGATCTTTTGTCTGACTCCGCCCACCTCGGGCTGGCTCCGCCCCCCATTTTGTGCCCCACAATCTTCACCGACGACCCTCTGCTGACCTTAATCCACTTTATTCCGGTCTTCGGAGTGCTCTGGGACCGTTTTGCCGATCTTTTGTCTGACTCCGCCACTCGGGCTGCTCCGGCCCGCCAATTTTTGTGCCAACAATCGTCACCGACGCCCTAGCTGACTTATCGCACATTTCGGTCTCGGAAGGCTGGACCGTTTTTGCCGATCTTTTGTCTGACTTCCGCCAGCCCTCGGGCTGCCCGCCCCCACCATTTTTTGCCCACAATCTCACTGAACGACCGCTCTGTTGACCTTAATACCACTTTTTTCCGGTCTCGGAAGTGCTCTGGGCCGTTGTTGCGTCTTTTGTCTACTCACGCCCACCTCGGCTGGCTCCGCTCAATTTTTGTGGCCACCAATCTTCACCGACGACCCTCTGCTGACCTTAGTCCACTTTTTCCCGGTCTTCGGAGTGCTCTGGGACCGTTTTGCCGATCTTTTGTCTGACTCCGCCCACCTCGGGCTGGCTCCGCCCCCAATTTTTGTGCCCCACAATCTTCACCGACGACCCTCTGCTGACCTTAATCCACTTTATTCCGGTGTCTGAAGTGTTCTGGAACCGAATAGCAAACTTTGAAATGACTACTTGCGATGATGGGCCAGCCCGCCTCACTGTGGGCGGGAGTTCCCAATAGTCTAAGTGCTGCTTTTATTTTTGTCCCATGCCCTACCCATCCCCACCTTGACCCGACCTCTCCAAGTCGTTCTTCAGGTCGAACCGAATTTCCGGACAGACAAACTTACAAACAAACAAACAAACAGACGAAGCGAATTTAATATATATAGGGGTGATGTTTTTTGTTTTCCTGTTCACGATTTTTGTTTTCCTTCTTCCTTCCTTTGTGTTCATCAACGCCTTTTTTAAGGTTGAGTAAAAAAACCAGCATCCACGACATTGTAGAATCCGAATCTGAAAAAAAAGATTCAGAGGGAATACAAAAAACACAACTCAAAGCTATTTCGAAACGTTCCTTACTAAAAAAGCCTTATGAAACACAAAGAAGGACAAGGAAAAGAGTGAAGCAGGACCAAAAAAATGAAACAAATATGACCTCTCGCCTCCACTGTAGCGCGATCGATCGTCTTGGATCGCGCCATCGCGAATTCTGCAACAACTGCTTCTCTAAATCTAGAAGCCGCGGTCGAGGCGTGCCTTCCCCTCCCTTCCCAACAGTGTTACACCGTTTTATGTTTTATTGTTATTTCGGAACTGCTGGCTCGAGATGTACTTCATGTAGACACACTTGGATATTGAGTCATGTTTAAAGACACATAGTACGCTCATACACATTGAGGGTGTATGAGACTATCAGCCCCCCAGATGTCGATGTGTCGTGGTCCCCCCCGCCCAAACATGCCCGGGAATGGAGATACAGGGCCGTGAAACACGCTAATTCTTCCATGCTCCGCCCACTGCCTTTTTACGGCGCAGATTCCCGCCGTTCTGATAACATCCGTTGCAAGCGCGCGTATCTGTCGCGTGCGGCTCCTTGGCACTTTGCCAAGTCCTTTAATTGCGCTCTCAAATAAGGAAAACGCAATTTCCTGATGCGGATAACATTGGAGGTGCTACAAAATAAGAGCAGAAGATGATGACGAGGGTCAGAACCTAAAAGCGACTGTGCCACTTCTGCAACATCCCTCGGAGGCCACGTATTTCCACGAAACATGAAAATAAAAACTAAAAACGGCATACTCGTTAGTTTAATACAAGCAAGACGCAATTTCCTGATGCGAATAAAATTTAAGGTGTTGCTCATGCTTCAAAATCCATGTACAAGGAGATGAAGATGACACAGGCTAGAAATGAAGCACAACGATGTAAATGTAAACAAAACAAAAAAAAAAATCAAGGAAAGGCAAATTAGATAAACTGGCCTGTAAATTTCCTAAGCGATCCGGCGCCAACGACACAGAAATACTTAGAAAAACGAGTGAACGCTGGCTTGTGTTTTATTTTCGTGTTGTTGTGGAATGCGCGCCCGCTTGACTGATACTGCAGATGCCGGCCGAGTTGGCTCTTGAGTTCTGGCCCCTTGTCATTCGAGATTTTTGGTAGCACCTCTAATGTTATCCGCATCAGGAAATTGCGTTTTCCTTGTATTTGAGAGCGCAATTAAAGGACTTGGCAAAGTGCCAAGGAGCCGCACGCGACAGGCGCGCTTGCAACGGATGTTATGAACGGCGGGAATCTGCGCCGTAAAAAGGCAGTGGGCGGAGCATGGAAGAATTAGCGTGTTTCACGGCCCTGTATCTCCATTCCTGGGCATGTTTGGGCGGGGGACCACGACACATCGACATCTGGGGGGCTGATAGTCTCATACACCCTCAATGTGTATGAGCGTACCATGTGTCTTTAAGTCGTTAGAAACGATGGCTCTATGCAACGAAAGTTTATAAATTGTATCATGAAATAGTGGAAACTTGCCCAAATCTTGGAAT